GGCAGCGAAGGCACATGCTGTCATTGCCTCTGCAGTGCCATCTGGCCAGCAGCAACGCAGCTAGAACCAGGGCTGTGCGCAGAAGAACATTTTACAACAGAAAGCAATTAACTGAATAAAGCCCTTTTTAAAATCCAGTAATTAAAAACAGTCCCTCCCCCTTGTTTTCCTTTTAAGCTGAAAGTTGCTGTTTACTCATTTGCTTTACAAAGTGTGCCTTGTTGTGGCTTCAGAAGAAATGAAAGTTTGAAGTGGTTAGAGAAGAAAGGCTCGGGGCTGGTGCGTTCCAGGCAGGGCGGAGGGGCAGGGGCTCTCCAGCCTGGCTTGTTTGTATTTGTTCTTGTCTACTCACAAGATCGCTAAACACACATTTAACAAGTGGTGAAACTGTCTACCAGCCTGATCTCTCCCAGGGTTCATGAGAAGAGGCCTGGCACATTAGCATGGCTGGGGGAAGGGGAGGGGGAGAACAGGCCTTTTGAAGGGTTGGTGTTTTGGGACAGAGCAAGGGAAGGGCTCCTTGTGCAGGCCAAGTCCCAAACAAAGGCATTGTGTTCCCCGGAGCCCTGGGGACTGGCCCCGGGGGAAGGCCAGGACCTCACTTCACCAGCCATGGGTTTTCCCATCCCAGCTCCTCTTGTTGCTGAAGGCCATCCAAGTCCTTCCAGTGGCCAGAGACGGGAGCAGGGCTGGCACCTCCGGGGTAGGCTCATCCTGTCCATGACAGTGAGAGCCAAGGAGACCAGGGCTGCAGTGGTCATGGGCACTGCCCTGTACTGCAGCAGCTCACCTTGTCTGCATCACCCTCTCTGGGTCTGAAATACCAGAGAGGAGCAGACCAGTGTCCAACGACAGTAAGTCTCCAGGTCCTCTCTGTGTAGCCACAGGGGAGCCCTGACCTCAGTCTGGGCTCCTGGAAGAGCCAGTAACCCCGTCTGTCAGCAGGGGTGGTGCAATATTAATTATCACTCATCGTGGCTTTTCTGTGAAGTGAGTGCCCAGTGCAGCAGCATCAGTTTGGGTGGGGAAACTGAGGCAAGGGTAGCTGGGACTAAACAACTGATGCTAAACCATCAGGATCCACTGTCAATTCCAGAGCAGGAAGGTGAACCTGTCCCCAGCTGCCCTCCAGCCCCACCGACCTGGGGATGCAGTGACAGAGCTGCCTGACACCTGGCACCCCCTCTGCGGGTCCCAGCCTTGCCCTGGGCACGGGCTCAGGGGGGACAAACACCACGTCTTGCAGAGACAGCAGCACACCTCTGAGGTACCCCAGCCATGAGCTCGGCAGGTGCAGCCTCGTGGTGCCCCATCCCATGGGATTTGCGGGGCTGAGCCGCATTCCTGGCCGCGGCGGCAGGGCCGGGCGGGCGCAGACCCGCCGTGGGGCAATAGGTGTGAGGACACAGACAGCCGTGCCAGGGCGGAGAGGGCAGCGCCGAGTTTCAGTCGGGCCCCGAGCAGATCCAGGATCTGCCCTGTCCCTGCCTGGGGAAGGGTGAGGCCACGGGTTTGTGGGAAAATGTTGTTTTTCCCTCCCCTGGACTGCCCGTAGCAGTCGGCTGGGCCGGCTCTGGATTGCGTGGGCCGGGGAAGTGGGGGGGAGTTTGCAATTGTAGTGCCTCTGGCTTGGAGTGGAGCCACGGCAAACAATCCTCTCCTGGCTGTGCTCCAGATCTGACAAAACACGGAGGTGATATCGTATTCATACCTACACGCTTTCATCCCAAGCCACCTCCCCAAAGCCCTGCCTGATTCTCCCGTCTGTGATGAATCCCTCTGCTCAGCCACAGAACAAGACAGCCTGTCCGCAGCGCTGCAGCCAGGAATCCTGTCCAGCATCCCTGCGAGGCCTCTGCTTTTGAAATTACAGCTGTGGGTCTGGCAGCCGGCGGTGGGACCTGAGGTTAGGAGGTGATGTTGACTGAAGATGTGCGGACAGGGCATTCCAGGCATGCACGGGGTTAAATCAGAGGTGTCAGTTCACGGGGAGGTAACAGATAAGTCCTGCTCCTGCCTCTGGCTTTCCAGAAGCCTTGCCCTCCCTCCCACATTTCAGCTGCTGCAGCTTTTCACAGCTGGCCGCTCTCCTGGGACATTTCCCAGAGCTGAGAAGGAGGGAGGGGAAGGAGCAGCTTGGTCCCAGCTTGAGAGGGGGGTTGGTGGCTGGGCTGACCATCACCCCTCCAGGGAAATTTAGGCTGGAGCCCTTCACCCCCAGGAGTCTGCTGGCACAGGCAAACCTGGGCAATCCCAGGTTCCTGGCAGGGATCCACCCTCAGCCCTGGCCCGGAGAGTTTTTCCTGCTGCAGGGAAGGGACATCAATCTTTGCAGCTCACTTATTCCTTGGCCTCTGAAGCAGGGTAGCCAATTAGTGCTGGGTGTGATGGATGGCTTAGCCCCGTCCTCGTGACACCCATCCTCTGGAAACTGTTCCCACCACGGAGAGGCATAGCCAGCCCGAGCAGGGGACAGCTCTCACCAGTCTCCTGAGTCCCAGAGGGTCTCACAGGGGTCCTGGGGACGGGGAGAGGCACTGCAGCAATGCTTGCTGTGCTCTCAGAGGGGAAACAGCCCTGAGCACGGAGCCAGGGCTGTTAATTCAGGGCTTGGGGAGAGATTTCCTCTGATAATTCCCTGGCTTGGCTGTGGCAAAGCCTGTAGCTCTCCAGGGAAGAGCAGAGCGGCTCTGGGCAGGGGTTGGTCACCCACTGTCTGTGGCTCTGCACTTGGGGTCAGTGTGCCGTGGGAATCGCCTGCACCGATGCCCAGTGAGAGGTGAGCAGGGGCAGAACCTCCATTTCTGCAGCCCCAGACCCCCCATTTCTGCACCCCATCACCCCCCCATTTCTGCACCCCATCACCCCTTGCCCACAGTGGGGGAGGTTTGTCCATTCCCTCCCACAGGACACGGGTGATGCTCATCCAAGCCCAGCTCCCCTCGCACGCAGCTAAGCCCGTTTAATCCTCCCCTGTCATCTCCATTGAACCGGCCGTGAGGGGTCTCAGCACTGACTCTGCTTCAGCTGGGGTGGTTCAGATGGCCCTCACAATCCCCCTGGGACTGCTGGGGGTGATTATAAACGACTCTCCAGGAGCACAGCCTGGAAAATGGATCCGATTACAGGAGAAGTGGGTTTCAGGGCCCCCGCTCTGTTCATAATGAAGTGTAATCCTAGAAAAACATGTTGCCAATTACACTTCAATTGAACCCAGATAATGATGCTTAGACAAGGCCCAGAAAAGATCAAGTCTGGACAGTGAATTCCTTTCTAATGGAGAAGAAAAGTGTTCCTCCATGGCAGGTCTGGGCTCTGCGTGGTTCAGGCTCACTGTGATATGAGCAAGAGCCTGAAATAACCAATCTCAGGATCCCATTTAAATGGTTTTATCAGTGGAAAGGGTATTAATCTCTCAAAAACACATGTTTATGGGAAGTTTGGTTTGGAGATGTATGTGTTTCTAACTGAAATCACTTTGGAAAGGGAGGAGGAGTGGGTCTCAAAATTGCTAAAATAACACTTTTCTAATTCTTCTGGTTCAAAGTAACTTTTCATTTGGAAATGTAAGCTAATAACAGCTCGGCTTCTTGACCACTTTTCACAGTGAAAACAAAACATCAGAATTAGAGAAACAAAGTGCTGTGACCTAAAGCAAATGCTTTATTCTCTTTTTCAGTTTACAAACACTTCTGAAACGCCAGTTTTGCACTCCAGCGCAGGACGGCTGGTTCAGGTCCCTGTTGTTTCACCTCGGGAGGGAGGACGGTGTGGTTCAGCCTCCAAAAACTGGTCAGGGGGGCCGTGCCTTGCTCTGCTCCGTGTGATGGGCTGGGGCAGGCGTGGGTGAAGGGCAGGCAGGAGCTGGGATTTGGCTTTTCCGGAGCTGCTGGCGAGGTGCTGGGGAATTGCAGACACCTCGGGGTTGGCGGGTGCAGCGAGGGTGAGCTGGCAGAGATGGCTGAGGCAGATAGGGAGCACCCCAGGAGGCCACGGGAGACGGGTGGTGGGGTGGCTTGGCCGGCCCGAGCGGCGACGGGCTGTTATCGCCGCCACGGTCTTTGCAAAAGGCTTTGGGAAACCCACGTGTTGCCAGATCTCAGCGCCGATTATTTTTTTCAAAATAAAAAGGCATTATTTTCGTACTGGGAACCTCCACTTCAGCTCTCTCCCTCCTCCATGCTCTCTCTCTCTCCCACACGCACACGTTTTTGCTGCCTTGGGGGATTTTAGCAGCGCAGGGCTCTGAAAAACAGACTCCTACCTCCTTCCCGCAAGCGCTGGGAAAGGGAGATGCTCCCTAGATGCTGGGCTGCGGGTCAGAGTTTCCGGCACTGTGGAATGAGACAAGAGAACAGCAATTCATCCCAGTGTCATAAACCCTTAAAGCTGGGCTTTGGCCGCTTTGTTTTACAGGGTAGGTGTCAAATGCCCTGGCAGCGCCATGAGCTGGCACTTGGAAGACGCTTCCAAGGCTGTGGGAGCGTGGCAGGGGGTCGAGCTCCTGGCGGGACCACCGTGGCACAGTGCCGGGGTGCCGAACCCATCCTGACGCCTCCGAGTGCGGTGCCACTGCTGCCACCCCGGCCCTCGGCCGTGGCCACTGATTAATCCCAGTCGAGGGCCCTTTGAGCGGCGTCCTCAAACAGCACCGTGTTTCCAATAAGCTGGTTTCCATCTGAATCATAAACCTCCAAAGTGCCTGCGCCGCGCAGAGCCGGGCAGACATGTGTGTGCGTGTGGGGCTGGATGTTGATTTTTCCCTGAAACAACTCAAGGCTTTATCAGTCCCATCTCTTTCCCACGGTTTTCTGTTGCCAGTGAGGTCACTGGTCCCTTTAAACTGGGGCTGAGGCCAATGTGCAGCGGGTGGAAGGGGGGCTGTGGGCAGGAGGGGGGGACATGAGACGGTTCACACAGACTGTTCCTTTTACAGGAAGACTTGGGATTTCGACCAGCGAGCGGGAGGAGGCGGGGGGGGCGAGGGGGGGGCCTGGGAACCGGGGAGCGCCGGCGCGGCCGCGTAATCCGTCACTCCTGGGAGATGGTGGCTCATTAACCCATTACCCGGGAGGTGGGGACGTGCCGGGAGGGAGCTAGGAAAGGAGAGCCGGGGGTGGGAGAGGCAAAGCGGGCAGGGGAGGAGCTGTGCGGGGCCGGAGCAGCGGAGCCCGGGCAGGGACAGCAGTGCCCCGAGCACGGCAGGGGAAGGACGGCGGCGGCCACCGGGGCCACGCGTGGGGCAGCCTCGCCGAGCCCACCGACCTCTCCCCCCGCGAGGATGAAGCGGCTCTGCGAGGAGAGCTCGTCCGACACCGAGTCTGACGGCACCATCGACGTGGGCCGCGAGGAGGAGTACAGGTGAGGGCAGGCTCCGTCCCACGCGGGTTTTGGGGTCCCGGCACCGCGCACGGCGCTGGCGGCAGCTCCCCCCGAGCCGCTCGGGGCGGCAGCGCTCGGCGCCTGCCGGGGCAAGGCAGGGGAGGGCACCGGGCTGTGCCACCGCCGCACCGGGGCACGGCATGGGAGGGCACCGGCTCCTCTGGCACCTCGCTGAACCCCTCGGGGCCGGGCTGGCCCTGCGCGGGACCGGCAGGATCACCCCCGTGTGCCGGCGTGGGCTGGTGCTGGCGGCGGGACTGACCCAGCAAGGAAACCCAAGTGGCGATGCAAGTGTTAGAGCTGTGTTAGGAGCTGATCGCGTTCAAGAAAATGCCCATTAAAGACAGCGGGACGGCCTTCCCCTACCAGCTGGGATAAGGGCAGTGGGAGCCCGGGTGCTGGCAGGTCTCTGCACCCCGAGCTGGGGCAGCCCCCCAGAGCAAAGGCGCCTGCCAGCTGCCTGGTACCCCTGCGGTCCCTGCAATCCGAGGGCTCTCAGGGAATGTGGAAGAAACCAGGTTTTGCATGAGAAACCAGGAGGTTTTGCATGAGAAACGCTTCTGCTCTGCTGATGCATTCGTAACGCACCAGCTGGGGCTGTGATGTGTTAGGGAGGGAGCCCGAGCAGGGGAAGGCTGCCCCTGTGCCCCTCGGCATCGCAGTTCTCGGGCTCCGTCCCATCGCTGCTGAGCTGCAGTTTCAGCTCTGGGGCTTTGCTGCTGGTGAGGGAACAGTGAGGACAGGACCCGTGTGTGGTTCCTCGGGCGGTGTCCACAGGTTTTGCTGCACTCCCGTGGGCTGCAGCTCCGCTGGCAAAGGGCATCCCCAGCGCTGCTCGCAGCCCGGGTTCCCAGGCTGTCAGCCCTTCATGGACATGCCCAGGCTCCGAGGGTGCAGACGGTGCAAGGGATGAAGGAAAGTCTCTGTTACTTGTTCGCATCCAAAAATCAATTGCTTTTGAACTCTTGTTGCAGTAGCCCTCTGTCCCCCTCTCTCTGCATCCAGCAATTAATTCATTCCCTATTGCTGCCTGATATCCTGAGAGGAGAAGCCGCCTACCTGGTGCCAAGCTCAGGTTCTCAGGGGACTAAATTCATGAGTCTGCTTCTGATACAGTCACAGCAGAGTCAGGCATATCCAAAAAATGTCCTGCAGAAATTCCCTGACCCCTTATGCAGTTTCTAAGTGCATCAATATTTAATCTACTTTCCTGCTGCAGATGAAATATATCCCACCTCTTCACATCAGTGCAGCACACAGAGTCTATAGTACCCCGAGGGATAAAATATTGGAATTGTCACAATATTTTATTTCAGTGAACAGTAATGATGAACTTTTAATCTCTTTCTGGTGCTGCTAATGTGTGTTTGTCTTCTCAAGGCAGTCGTAGAACCAGGCTGGCTGTGATCTGGTGGTATTTGTATATGTGTATGTTGTTCCTCATGTCACGCAAATATATGGCCAAAAGAGCTGTTCCTGCCCTGATGAGGTTACACCCCAAGTAATGCCATCTTGCATAGGATGCTGGTGGATCCAGGAAAATGAAACACTTCCAGGTGGGGAGTGAGGAGGAGTGATTAGAACAGAGGGAGGCAGTCAGGCTGCCTGGCTGGGGTTCCCAGCCCATTACCCATCGGTCGAGTGGTTTGGGCAAACCAGTTTTCCTGTAGTGTGGAGATGAGTCACGCCGGGTGTGAGGCTTGGATCAGTGCGTGGAGCAAGTTTAGGCTCTGGGGTCACTGCAGAAGTGCAAGATACCGCTTGGTTTATAGCCAAAGTTGGGCTGTAAGTGATAAAGTTAAGAAAAAGAGCAATGCAGAAATTTTGATCGTCAGAGAATATACTTACACTATATTTTATGTGGTTCAAATCAGTCGAACGTATTTTTAAAATACATTTTGCAGTAAGCTGGGTCTTGATATCCACATCTGGAACTGCAGCTCACAAAGAGCAATGTGTCCGGGCCGCTCTGCAAAGAGAGTTTCAAAATGCACTGTTCCTCCTTGAGTGCCTACTCCGCATTCCTGCGCTGCCAGGCGAGTTCAGCACCCACCCCCTGCACGTACAACACTCCAGTGTCCACACACATCCCGTTTTCACAATCATATGTGCTCATCATATGTGTGTCTGCGTACGCTGGCTACACATGTTGGTACTCGTGGAGCCAGCCAGCACCTGTGCCCAGAGAAAGCCCACCCAGCAGACATTCAAATAGGGTACCTGTATGGAGATGAGTGGAACAGGCAGCAGAAGAACGTGTTATTTCGTCTGATTGTGTAAAACCACTTCTGAAAGTGCCTCGCTTGGGCCTAACAAACTGTATTTTTAATGGGCTGAGTTTGGTCTAGTTTCTGGCTTGCTGCAGACAGCACTGTCTGTGCAGGAACGTCATTAATGGACTCCTATTAAAATGCTTTGTCAAACTGAGAAGCATCTTGATTTGACGAGGTGAACCCAGGTGGCCCTTCCCAGATTTGCGTGTCTGACGTGGGCTCCGGTCCCTCCGGCGCGCTGGGCTGGCCGGGGCTGCAGATGGATGTGTGCTCACATCCCTGCGCCGCATTTCGTAAGGCACAGAAACAGCCCTGAGCCAGTTCCACTTTCCAGAGGGAGAAACCCTGCTCGGGGAGGGCGGAAGGTGGCCCAGCTGGCCTCCCCCCCCCCAAGCCAAGGGGTCTTGCTCCAGGGAGTTTCCCACGCCTGGTTATCCATCGTTATGGAGACCTCACCTCTGTGGGGACCTAAGGCTTGAACTTTGCCTCCCCGTGCGTGTCTAGCGCAGACCTTTGGTGTCTTTAGCCTTAACCAGGCCTGCCAGGCACAGGATGGTTTGTGGGGCCCTTTTCCTTTGCCTGTGCCCCCCCTTGTCCCTCTTCCCTTGAGCAGAGCTGGTCCCTGGGGCTGTCAGGCAACAGGCAGGGTCCCAGCTCCATCACCTCCTGCTAGGTGTTGCCCCCACCCAGGTCCTGGCCCTTCTCTGTCTGGTTCAGGAGTGTCCGTGCATTCGGAACGTCGCAGCCCACCCCAAAAATTGTGGTTTGGGAAGCGACTTTCTGGGAAGGCCTTCAGAAACCACATCAGTGCTGCCGCTGGCCTCACCCTGAGGAGCAGCCAGCCCTCCCTGGGTGGGAGCTCAGATCTGCGCTCGTGCTATCGCGGCTCTGAGATGCAAATCCCTGCAGACAGGGCAGGCTCAGACACGAGAGCTGGGAGGTTCACACATGGAGGAAAAAAAGGCCATGACTCCAGAGCTTGGATCGCTGCTTTTCCAGCCCTGTGGAGATGCTGACATGGGTTGAGACTGAAGGAGGGGTGAGCCTGGGAGTGAATGGACAGTTTGGTGCAGAAATCTGTCCAGGCTGGAAGGAGACTCTTGGAGGGGAGAGAGTGGTATCTGAGTCTCTGTTTGGCTCCTCGTCCCCAATTCCTGAGCTCTGTGTTGTGGGTAAAAATGAGATGGGAACCACAGAAGATATTTTTTTGGGGGGGGGGGGAACTACAGATGGCGAACGTGTGTAAAGCATATGTGCAACAGAGGTTTCTCTCCAGCTAGTGCAAGAAATGACTCCCTCTTCTTCCTTTCCAGCCATGTTTCCAGGTCTGTGTCTCCCACTACAACATCTCAGATACAAGCCAGGAAGAAGAGGAGAGGGGTGAGTGTCATTTACAATGACCAGGGTGGTTGTGCTGTGTCCCTGGCGGGGGGTCAGGCTGGTCCCAGCTCTGTGCCAGGGATGTCGCCCTGTGTGCAGTGGGGGGCTGTTGGCACGTCCTTCCTGTGGGAACACCATGCAAAATCACCTTTACACCATTCCCCGCTCCATCTCCTGCGGAACTCTCCTCACAGCCAAGTTATTTGCAGAGGTTTGGCCTCAAATCTGGCAGAAAAGGGTGGGGATAGGACTAGAGGAGAGCGATTTCACCTGGGATTATCACACCAGTCAGTTGACGCTTCTTTGCTCGACTTTTGCACCCTGAACATTTACATATACGGCCCCGTTCGAAGCACCTCTCTCAACCTGGAGGGCTTTAGACCCGTGAGCTGTGGCTGTAAATGACTGTGGTTTCTTCTCTCCACTTGGAAATCTCCTGCAGATCATCGAGAAGCGGCGCCGTGACCGTATCAACAGCAGCCTCTCGGAACTGCGGCGCCTGGTCCCCACCGCCTTCGAGAAGCAGGTGTGTGTGTGTGTCTGTGTGTCCTGATCTCCTCCTGTGCAGGCTGCATTCAGCAGTGTTTGGGGTAGAACCCTCAGAATGAGAAAGTCTGGAGCAGCGCTACGTCTTTCACTTTGGGGAGTAAGTAGGTGGTGATACTGGGTGGTAAAACGTTATTAGCAAATATTCAGGAGCCCTGGGGAGGATAAATTCAATCTAGAAAGTGTTTTGCAGATATGAAGAAGCACAGAAATAGGGATTTTCAATCTGCATCGGGGTACCTTGGGAAGGAGCTCTTTTTTTGTACTCACTTGATGTGAAAAGCAGAGTCTGGATGGATGCACTACACCAATCTGAGAACTCCCGGGCTTCAGGTTTTGAGGAGGAGATCATTGGTCAAACACTGGCTCCTGAGAGGCACAAAGCCCTAGACCATAAAATGATGAATGGCTTTTTCTTTCTGCTCCAAACATCCAGGGGTCTTCCAAGCTGGAGAAGGCAGAAATTCTACAGATGACAGTGGATCACTTAAAAATGCTTCATGCCACTGGAGGAACAGGTAAGAACTGCTCTTAAAAGCATATGGGTGAGGGGAAGGTGGAAATCTGGAAGAAAAATTTCCCATCACCCGTAGCAGCAAGCTGACACCAGCCAGCACCAAAACAAATGCTGCCCTGCCTGCTTCCCAAGGGAAATATCTCCTGAGGGAGGGCAGACCTGCCCTGTTATTTGACATATGGGTCAGCATCCATTTGGGAGACTGGGCTATGTGGGACAGCAAGCCCCCCAGATCTGCAGGGACAGCAGTGGTGGTGTTGTCACACCCCCGGCTAAAAAGTTGTTCAGGCAGAGATGAGGTTAGTCCTGCTCAGAAATGGAGCCTGTTTCCAGGAAAAGGATATTAAACTCTTTACCTCCTCCCTGGGATACATTTCCTGCAGAGGCTGAATTCTGCATGAGGACTCTGCAAATAAACAAGGCTTTTTTTCCCTTTCTGTTCTTTTTCTTTGTGTGTCTCTTGGTTGTTATAAGAAGAGAGAGGGAGCCCTGTGCAAAATTCAACAAAGGTCTTATTTGTACTGAGACCTCAGTACAGACCCTCTGTCCTGTTCCAGTTAACAGGATGGAGATCACAGCTCCAGTAAAGAAGCCTCTGGCTTGCTTACCACCCAGTTTTGGCTTGCTGGGGACATTGCTGGCATCCAGGCTTTGGTTCAGAGCTGTAACTTGGTCTGGAACATTTGTTTAGATATTCAGTTTGACTGCACTGCAACAAAGGGCTGTATTGTCACGAGAAACCCCGTCAAGCACAGTGGTCCAGCGCTTCACTGTGCTGTGACATTTCTCTGCTTTATTGCTTATCGTCTCATGAAGCTGCAAGTTGGGAGTAGAAGCCTAAAAATCAGCCGTCAGCTGTTGATTTCTGTGGTTTTGAGCTTTCTTGGCCCAGTGGTTTTGGTTCTGCCACTGCCCTGTGTCCTTCGGCCAGACATTGGTTTAAAGGAAGTTTAAAGTTTGGGAGCCAGGCAGAGGAAAGTGGTGCTAAGCTGTGTGTGGAGGAGACACAGTGTCCTGCTGTTCTGCAAGACTAGGGATGGTCCATTTGCAAAGAAGGACCCAGAGCCTGTCTAGCCCACAGTCATGTCTCCAGCAGTGATAACCGATTGAATCCAATGGGAAAAAAATTCTTCCTTCCTGAGCTCAGTTAATGAAACCTCTTACTTGTCTCACATGCTGGGGTAAGAGGTTTCATGACCCTGGCAGGTTTATCCCTGTGAGATAACCACAGATGCTATTCTCATGCACGCAAACGTCCAGTCCCTTGGGACACCCACTTGGCTGTCTGCTTCAGGAATATCACACGGCAGCAAAGTGCCTCAAGTGAAATACACAGTGCATTAGAGAGGGTACTGAAATCAAAGCGCATTCCTGAGCTCTGCACGGGCTTACTGTCACCCGTGTCCTCTCCCTGCAGGCTTCTTGGATGCCCGAGCTCTGGCTGTGGATTACAGGAGTATCGGCTTCCGCGAATGCCTCACTGAAGTTGTCAGGTACTTGGGCGTCCTCGAGGGCCAAAACGCCACCGACCCCATCCGGCTGCGACTCCTCTCCCACCTGAATAATTACGTGGCAGAAATGGAGCCTTCACCTGTGGCCACGTCCCTGCTGCCCATCCAGACGTGGCCGTGGTCCTTCCTCCACAGCGCCGCCGGCCCCGTGCAGATCCCCAGGAGGGAGGCTGCTCCCGCTCCGGTAGTTTTGACTGCATCTTCCCTGGCTTACCCAAGCCCTGCTGTGAGGCCAGCCCCGCTTCGCCGTGTCCCGGGGGACATGCTGCCGTCCCGCCGAAGCTTCCTGGCCAGCAGGATGGGCTCTTCCAGCCGGAGGGCCCGAGGCGGAGGCTCGTCCACAGCCGTAGCAGCCGTACCCAGGATGCCATCGCCAGCGGGTGTATTGAGAGAGGGCTCGTCCAAGAGCAGCCAAATCGCAACATTCCTCTTCTCCCCAGCCTCTGCTGGCATCCCCGTTCCACCACCTTACACGGCACCCCCTGTCTTGGGCGCTGCTGCTCAGGGACCAGGGATCAGGGTTGGGACATCCAGGATCTGCCGCTCGTGGGCGACTGAAATCGGGGCTTTCTGACCCTCCCTTCTCCTTCGGAGACAGGAATTCTTCAGCACTCGTTGCCCGCAGGCCTAAGAACAAACTCGGCTGAAAAGGCGTCTTTCCTGCTTTGCAGAAGCCAAGGATCCATAGAGAAAATTCTCTTTGCTCTTCCCTCTCTCCTCGCACCGCCTTCCTCGCCTCACCATCACACGTCCTCTCCCTCGTGATGCCTGCAGACGTAAATCACATCCGATTCGATGCACTTGTCTGCACGCGGATGTACTCCAGACCCTTCCAGCTACGAGGGAGGGGGCACACACACATCCTAAGCCCATTCCTCCTCCAGCAAACCCCTCTGCAGAGCCCAGCGTTGCTCTCCTTTGGAAAACAGCCAGCCTTGAAATACTGTCTTATTTGCCTGGGAACTCGGAGCTGCCAGAGAGACTTGCTCGTGCTGATTCCCTGCGATGTGTCCCCCAGCTGCAGGACCTAATTTTGGTGTGGTGGGACGGACACAGCTCACCCCTGCCCAGCACTTCTGGCACCCACAAGGCAGGATAGAGCCCCCTCCAGCTCCCAAAGCGAACTGGCTGCCTGCTAATCCCTGTGCTTTCCTCACCGCATTACCAGCTCTTCCCACTTATGTGCCCTTAAGGTGGAGTGAGGCAACAGCTTAACAGAGCTCGTTCCCACAGCCCGGCTGAAAATCCCAGTCATGTCTGCAGGGCCTGTGCTGGGTCCCTGCACAAACTGTGCCGGAGCAGCTGGCCAGGCCACCTGGGTGCAGCCCTTGCTCCTCACTGAGGTGTGAAGAGGCGAGACAGAGGATTTCAAAGGGACGTCTGTCACAGAAGGGAAGGCTCTGACGGCCAAAGTGAGAAGAAAATGCCTTTTCCCTCTGCCAGTCTCCCTGCTGGAGCCGTCTCTCCTCCACCCCCTGCTGAAACCTCCACCCCCTGCTGAAACCATGACTGCACAGCGGGAACGGGTCAGAGCAGCCTGCATTTGAAGTGCCTCCCTCATTGTCCCTTAGCCCAGCATCCCTCACCCTCTCCTCCTACAATGTCTCTGTTTTCTTCCTCCAGCACCATGTTTGGGTCTCACTCATTCCTCTTCCTGGGCTGGGACCAAAACCCACTGAGGTGTCACTGCAGACCTTGGCGAGCTCTGGGTCTGCACTTGTCCTGAGTCTGAGCTTTTTCTGCCTTACCCTGTGTGCCCCTAGACAACTGATGCAGCAGATATGCCTCTGCTCCTCTGGCTGTCCTCCCTCCCTCTCTTCCTCGGGCACAAAGAACAGAAACTTGAAGTTTTCAAGCCACCCTTCTGCGCCACGTCTCATGGAGGCAGGGCAGGGTCTCCCAGTGCTCCCCCTCACCTGAATGGCCCCCACTCCCTGCATCTGTGCCTTGATTGCTGGGATACATGTGCAGAATAGCCTGGACCCAGTTGCATGCCCACCCCTAGCCCACCTCTGCAGCACTGTGACACTGAAGAAGAAAAATGTGGTCGGTACAAAGAAAGGTAAAAAAGAGGGAGAAGATCCCTCTTGAATGGGAGAGGCTCTTCCCATGCCTCAGGTCAAACACACCACAGCCAGTTGGGCTGTGTGGATGAGCTGGTGTTTTCCTCCCTGCAGATTGCATCTGCTATGTGCATGTCAACGTATGTATCTGCTATTGTTTTGAAAGTGAGTCCCTCCCAGTTGTTTTGATGAAAGTCATCGCACTTAACACACAGAAATGCCTCCGCTACTTTTCCTCCCCCTTGTCCTGAAGTGCCAGAATCAGCCAGGAACAACGTATTCCCTTTTGATAAAGTCAGAGGAGGGGGATCCTTGCAGACCCCGGCTGTTCCTGTGGCTGGTTGGCACGTTAGAGCTCACGACGAGTAGCCCGGCCTCACTTTACACTGTGCAGTGCTCTTAGATTCACAAGTTGTGACATCAGCAAAGGTGTCAAATAAAGTCTTTCAAACCCCTGTCCTGGCTGTCAAATGTAGTGTTGATGTGAATCTGTCCTGCTCATCCAGCCTGCTTGAATCATGGAATGGTTTGGCTTGGAAGGGACCTATAAAGGTCCTTGGTGACTAGTTTTGCAGCAGGTGAGTTTTTGTTCCTGAAAAGGTTCAAAAAAAAAAGGTAAGGTGACATCCCCTCTGGTGGTTTTATAGCTCTTGGTGACTCTGGTCCCAAGACTTTCTACTTTGCAAGCCACTGTGTGAGCCAAAATCAGCTGGGTAGTCAGCAAGGCTTGACCTCAGATTGGCAATAATCCGTCACTTGAGAATAAATCATTTCATTTAGCTGCAAGGGTCTGCAAAAATGTCAGGGAACAGATGGGGTCCAGCAGATCCTTGCAGACAGACGCCGAGGGCTTGCCTTGGTCTCCTGACCCTTTGCAGCCAGGGCCAGCATAACCCCTGTGGCATCTCGCCATCGGGAAACGCTTTGGACTAAACAAAGAGCCACAGCTGAGAGCTTGTCTCTGTTCTGAGGAAAGGACCAGTAAATGATCCTTCTCGTGAAAGATGCTGGGAGAATTTTCTGGGGAATGGTGGGAATTCAGCTTCCTTTCCCATAACTCCTTCTCACTCCAAAATGCCTTTCAAAACCGCCCATAAATCCCTTCCTTAAGTGCTGTGTGGGGAATTGCTGGAAGGGAGCAACTGCAGCTGTGGTGGAGTAATGCAGCATCCGTCTGGAAGCGGGGAGCAACTTCAAGAGCAATAATGGGGCTATTGATGACGGGTCGTCCCGCTGGTGCCTGGGCTGCCCTGACCCGACGGTGGGAGCTCAGTGCTCTGGTGTGGCCTCGGCCAGAGAGGGGAACCAAATTACCCTCCGTGGGAGGCAGGAACACAAACCGGCCCCGCGGGCCAGAGTGGTAAAACAAAACAGAGACAGTGGAAAAAAACCACTTCCTGATCTCTGCGGATCAAACGGGAGCCGGAGCGGGTGGGAGGGCATCGGTTCAGGCCCGTGGGGTTTTCTCCCCACAGCAACACGGTGATTGGAGCAGTAGCTCGGGACTGGAGCTTCATTTTTTTTCCCAGGGTTTTCTTGAGCCTAAATGACTCTTCTAACACATCCTGGCAACTTTTGATCTACCCTGCAGGGGAAATCCCCGAACTCTCCGAGCACTCTCTTCATCCTTGTTCTTCAGGCAAAAGAAAACACGATGAAAAGGTCTGTGGGAAGGCGTGGGCTGGGGTTGCTCGGTTAAACACGGCACTGGCTCTGACCCCGGCGAGGCTGGAACAAAAACAGTGTCCTGATGAACCAGCCTTCCCTGCTGCTTGGAGGGGACAAGGCCACTCCCAGGCTGTGGGAGATTTGCTGCGCAGCAGGTGCTCTAGGATGGTGTCCTGCTCTCCCAGATTCGCCTGCATGAAAAATATTGCTTATCTCCGTTCTGCTCTTGCCTGCCCTGGGTGTTCTCCCTCCTTTCTGCTCGTGGTGCAATCCCGGCCTGCCATCTGCTGGTAAAATTCCAAAGCTGAGGAGGAGAAATTCTAAACCAGGGGCAGCATGTGGTTGAAAACTTGCCATCTGTGCCATCTTTTATGATGACCCTCAACGACTGAGGTACTGCTCAGACACACAGTGGTAGAGTGGCTTGAGAGGCCTCTGGGTGATTGATGAGTCTCCCACCAGCACCATCGGGGACAGATTGGCAGGATGAAGGCATTAACAGATGTCACCTTTGCTCCAGGCACTGCTGAAGGTCCTGTGACAGTGAACTGGAAGGATCTCAGGTATCGCTGGTCACCAGGAGCAGCTGCACTTGTGTGTGAAGGGCACCAAGAGCAGTGGGGTCCCTGGGGCAGTTTTGGGCCCTTGTGGGCAGAGGGCACCCCCAGCACCAGAACTGAGGGAACCCCATCAGTTCATTTTGGGTGCAAAAAGGATCAAGGAGGACTGTGGTTGTCTGCAGGGAGTCCCCTGGGAGGGAGCACAAATGTCACTAAATATGTTTCAAATCAAAGCCATTCGCAGCGTAGCCACAGCGGCTGCTGCAGCCAAAGGGCGTTTTATGTGGAAACATGTTCTTTGAGATCTGCTGTGTTTTGACTTTAGCTGTCAAAGCAGGAGCCGAACCCTTCCACAGCAAGACTCCTGTCTCAGTCCGTGGTTTCCAAGAGGAGGAGATGCCGGCTGTGGAGAACCAAGCACAGAACAGTGACAGGCACCAGGCATGATCCCACCAGCACAGCCTCCCAGCACCATCAGTTGTCGTGAGGATGATGATCTTGGGAGGAGGATGACTTGTGTCTTTAGAAAACAATCCAGACTGAAAATAGTGCAAAGTATTACAATTTACCTTGCTGGTGTTACCTTTTATTCTGCTACACTCCATTTTTCCACTGTAATGAAGGGATAGGTATCATATCCCATTTTTATGATAACATCATATCCCACTTTTAAAGCAAATTAAAGGTAATTTAATACAGAATTTTAAAGTCACAATGCCCAGCTACCAGCCTCTGTAGACTGCCTTACTTCCCCCTGAACAGGACGTCCATGGAGCCTGAAGGTCACTGATGAATCACTGAATCCTGCGCTGCCGTGTCCTCACGCTCCACTGAAGATGCTGGAAATAGATAATTACAGGTCTCCCCGGAGCCGAATCTCGTGAGCGTGAAGCCATGGGACAGCAGAGGGGGGTGAATCCCCTCTCTTATTCCAGAGGCTTTCTTCTGCATTCGGAGTTGTTCAACCCTCACCCTGGGAAGAGGGACTGACAGCTCACTACCACAGGGAGACATCGAAGACCCTTGGTCCCTCTCCAGGGCAGCCCACGATGTGAGCTGGCGCAGAGCCAGGGCTGCCACAGGAACTCGCACTTATTTGAGGAAAAATTATGCCCTGAAGACAAGGAGGTTGTGGGGACAGCTCCAGCTACGGCCACTCCTCATCCCACCACCACTACACCTCCAAAACCAGAGCTTGGAGCAGCGAGAAAAATGATCCCAGAGGAGGAATTTTTTCCTGATCTCTAATCCAAACCTACCCTCTTTCAATTTAAACCCATTCCCCTTGTCCTGTCACCACACAGTCTTGTGAACAGCCTCGTCCCCAGAGAAATGTTTGCCCTGCTTGCCCTGGGGCACACAAGGAGGCTGTGCCAGGGCCATGGCTGAGCATCCCTGAGGAGCTGTGGGCCACCGTGTCCCTGAGGATGTTACTGAAAACGTCGGGATGAATCAAACTCTTTAACACTATTTTTAGTATTAGAAAACAGACATTACTTTATTCACAGCACTGGGTGAATGCATTTTCAAAACTTTTCACTACTGATACATTTTGGCAAACAAAGAAATTAATGTTCATTAGCTATAAATTACATAATTCTCCTCATTAATTAGTATTCTATCTTCTACTGGTTATTGATTCTCTCGCTTCTTATGTTATTAGTCCACATTTTCAGCCTTTTTATTATCTTTTTCCCAGACAGAGAGGGTTTCAGCACCATCACTGAAATTATCTTTGTTAGTTTCTTCTTTATCTCTGGCTTCTGCAAAAACGTCCTTGTAGCCTAAAAATTCTGCATCCCTTGTGTCCAGTTTCAGCAATACATCCCTCCCCCAGGCTTTGTTTATTGACGCACATCAAGGTCGGTTTTGGTAATTTTCAGCAGGTTTTTTTCAGCGATTTTCCCTGTGTTGTGATTCAAAGAAATTAAACTCAGCAGCATGATACTGTTAGGCCAGCATTCCTTTAATACACAGGCAGGGTAATGTCAGGATAGCTCCTCCATAAACACCCCACTGAAACAAGGATTTTGTGAGCTTTTATACACTTTTAACACCTCAAGCCCCTCCTTGACAGTCAGTCATTTAATCCTTACAAGGCATCAACATTAATCTTTAGTTAAAGATAACTTAGACTTCTTTTACTTAAACAACCTTTTGAGTAGTTTTGTATTTTATTGCTACGAGACACCAACATCAATCTTCGGTTAAAGACAACTTAAACTTTTACTTAAACAACCTTTGATTGATTTAGCTTCCTAGAGTGTATTCTCAGATCTTATTTTTACAGGATTCATTATCCATCTTTGGTTGAAGATTAGACTTGGAGTACTTTCACTTAGACAGTTTTCTATTGATTTAGCCTCCCTAGAGTGTAGCGGTCCCCAAAACTAATTCAAACTGCGGCCACGTAGGTTGCCGACCTTCTTAATTTTTACTTTTCAGCAGACCATCATGACGTATCCCCTTTCAGTCGCCGCAACAGCCAGCTCATTACAAACGGCGGGAAATCACGCCGGCTTACGACCGATTGATTAATTATTTAGAAGAGTTATTAGGAAAGTCACGTCATTTTCAGCAGGAAGGGGGGGGGGAGTCGCCCCGCGGCGACCCCAAAATGGCGGCGCCCCCTTAGGGCCGGGCGGGTCCTCCCGCCCTCTGGGGGCGCTGCGGCGGCGGCGGGGACGAACACGGGGCTCTGCCCGCCGGGCCCGGGCCGCCTCCTCTCCGCGGCTCCGCGGCCCACACGCGCCGCCGCGGCGGCTATAAAGGGCCGCCCGCCGCCGCCGCCGCCTCTCCGCCCGCCGGGTGAGTCGGTGTCGCGCCCGGTACCGGCGCCTCAGGGGCAGGGAGGGATCGGGGGGAGCGCGGGGGGG